AGCCCCGGCTCCCAGCCTCACCCGCCCGCAGCAGCCTGGCCGCGGCCATGTCCTGGGCACAGCACGGTCCCTGCACCGGCCCCGGCCCTTTCCGCTTCCTCTGCGCGCAGCCGGGCCCGCCCCGCAGCTCCGCCCGCTGCCCTCGCTCCGCTCCCGGCCCAGCGAGCGCTCTGCCGCGGGGAGAATGCAGCAGCCCGGCTCCCAGGCAGCAGCCGGGACTGGGCGGGAGGCAGGGAGGGGGACACGTGGGGATCCCCCCCCTAGGCAATTAAAGTCAGGGCCTTGGACCAGGCGATGCCTCTCCTTTAGAGGGGAGGGACTTTTGGGGGGTCGGGACCCAGGGGGAAGTCAGCTGGGGGCCGCACACAAGTGAGAAGCAAAACAAACACCCCCCCCCCCAAAAAAAACCCACCCCCGCATCTCACTGACATGGCCCCCAACTGAGAAGCAGAAAGACTCCACCTATTCCCCTTGCACAAGGGGGGGCAGGGGGGAGGGCTCAGGGTAATAGGGAGGCAGGCTCAAGGAGTGGGGTCTGGGCAAAAGGGAGGGTGCAGTAGAGGGCTGGGAAGGTCCAGGAGCAGACCGAGTGGGAGGTGGGTGCAGGACCGAAAGGGAGGTGGTGGATCTGGGCAGGAGCTGGGTGCAGGAGAGGACTGCTCATTAGCTGCTTCCTCCCCTGCTTGTGGGTTGGATCCAGACCCAACTTGCCTATCGCCTGCAGGGCTCAGGGCTTTTCCCCCCACTGCAGTGGGAAGCCAGTGCTGGCACGCCAGCCTGTGGGGGACTTTGTTTTGGAGGGCTGGAGTGCCTGCCCCAGCCCCCTGATGCTGGGGGGAAGCCCTGAGCCTCAGGGGCTGGATCCAGGCGAGCCAGAGGTCACTTCCAGTCCCTGGCCTTCGGTTCCCGACCCCTGCTCTAAATACAAAACATGACTAATTTGTAGTGGTATCCTGTATATAATACGCAAATATAACACTTTATTATTTCTATTTTCATTGTCCTTTCTCTTAGAATAATATCCTTTTTTGGTAATGCTATAGGGCCTCTTAAACTTGACATAGGCCTCAGCTGTGTTAGTCTGGCCCTGGGTGCACCTTTGACTGCTTCCAGGAGTGACCTGTGAAAGGTAGCCACTGCAAAAAATTGGAAAGGGTACAGAGAAGAGTGACAAGAATGATTAAAGGTCTAGAGAACATGACCGATGAAGCCAGGCTTCATGAACTGGGCTTGTTTAGTTTGGAAAAAAGAAGATTAAGGGGGGACATGATAGCGGTTTTCAAATATCTAAAAGGGTGTCACAAGGAGGAAGGAGAAAATTTGTTCCTCTTGCTCTTGGTTTCTGAGGACAGGACAAGGAGTAATGGGCTTAAAGTGCAGCAGGGGAGGTTTAGATTGGACATTAGGAAAAAATTCCTAATTGTCAGGGTGGTCAAATATTGGAATAAATTGCCAAGGGAGGTGGTGGAATCTCCCTCTCTGGAGATATTTAAGAACAGGTTAGATAGACATCTGTCAGGGATGGTGTAGGTGGAGCTTGGTCCTGCCTTGAGGGTGGGGGGCTGGACTCGATGACCTCTTGAGGTCCCTTCCAGTCCTATTATTCTATGATTCTAAAACCTCCCTGCCATATAGCATGTGTCAGCTGGAATTCCTATTCTGGGCCTATTGGGTTTCTACAGAGACCAGAACATGTGTGAAGCCCTAGAAACAATAGGATTGATCAGTGAGCAAAATGACTGCTCGTCAGATCCAACCCTTTTTCACAAATAAGTTGTAGGATATATGGCTTTGACTAGGGAGGTAAAATCCCATTTAATTAGTTAACGAGTTACACATCAGATCTTGTTTAAATGGTCATCCGATTACATGGGGAGGAGGCTGCTCTGGATCACTCCTGCCTGTTACCTGTTACCTTACTGGCTGATGCTTACTGGTTAACCATTCACATCCCTAGTTTGGACTGCACTAGTACCTAAAGGCTCAAATCCCATTAGGAGACAGACGGGAGCACAAGGAAACAATGAGACAACATGGGTCAGCAAATGGGCCTTCCTCATACCTGCTTCTCTCTGGTCCCCAGACCTCAAGAGACTACTCTCAGTGGAGTGCAAGAAAAGCATTTGTAAGCTGGGTCCTTGTGTAAAAATAAAAAACCAAAATAAGATAAAAGCGTACTGTGCCTTTAAGAACTTTGTTGCCAAGTTACAGCCTGTCTCTTAGCAACAGACAGTTTGTTACTTAAGCACCCTCCCATTTTCCTTTGTGCCTGGTCATTTTCCTGCCTCTTTGTCCAGCTTGGATCAGCAGAGTCCCCAAAGGCCTTAGCTCAAAATGCACCAGGAACATCTGCCGGAAGCATCGGCCACCAGTGAAAAAGAGGCAGAAGTGGGTTGGTCCCAGAGAACCAGTGATTACTACAGAGTTAGTGATGATTTGCCACCCCGGTTCAACCACCCTGGATGGTTTCAGGGCTACAGGTAAGGAAGCTGATATAACTTGTGTGATGAGCAAAAGCGGCATGCACAGTGGGAGGGGTTCACCACACATCCAGAGGTGGCCACATTTTGCAACAACGCCCTGTGATCCTGTGGCATCGTCATGCTGTTGGCAAGACTCTGAAAATAGATACCCATTTTAAGACCTGAACTGCTTCTAGGAGGTGCTCCATGATTAGCCACCATGGCCAGAGGTCCCCAGCATGCTTTGCTACAGCTTCATTCAGATCCCAGCTTTCCAGAGTGCAGATTGTGTAGAATTTTCCTTGTTTTTAAATTCCTCCAGGAACCTTTCCTTGCTGTTTCTGTAGCAGACAGTCCCTCTCTGCTCCCTCAGTCTCACTGTTGGTGAAAGACCAGCTGCTTAGCAGCCTATACCACTTAGAAATGCCCTCTCATCTCTCCTCACCTTATATATTCCCCATCTCATCCCAAAAGCATCTTTTCAACTTTGTCTGCACTTAATGCCCATCTGTTGCTGTAATTTATCTCCATAATCGATACCATTTAATGCTGTAGAGTGCTGTGGGATACAATGTGTATGAAAGAAACCATTCCAAGTAAAATTACCTTCTATTGTGTAGAACGAGGGAGCCTCATCCAATGTACAGGACCACCAACCAGACCTATGGAAGTAAAGCACCTACTGTACATGAAATGCCAGTAAGTATATGCAACACAAAGCTAATTACAGTGTGGATCAATCTTACCTTTTAAGCGAACTCTAGGCATGCACTGAATATTTGTTTTATCTGTGGAAGTACTTAAAAAAAAAGTCATGCTTTTTGCTTGGTTCCTTTGTTTAAAAATCTGTCAATTCAGTTAGAGCTGACACATTACCTTCCTTACGGAAGCATCTATCCCTTGCAGTATTTTAAAATACATATATTATCCTGCGGGCACTTAGCGTTTACTCACCCTCCTGAACCCAAGTATCGCTCGCTCCTGGCATGAGCAAACTGGGGAGGGAAGCCATGTGTGCACGGCCACAGCCAGCCAGAATGCAGGCACAAAATAATACTAAAAAGTAGTTAGGAGAAGGGGAGCAAGGAAGAATTCTGATGGATAAAATTTATTTTCTCATATCTTTTGTTAAATTTGAGTGCTTTCAATCCAGACCAGCAATGGTTCAAATTTAGATCTCCTGTATAACACCCAATAAGCTAATTTTTCAATGGCTATTAACATTTTTATTTCATGTTACCACTCCAGCCTCTTACAAAGGAAAAATGCAGTAATATATTGCAGGAAAAATGGAGGGGCATCATCATAGTTCTATTTTAATTTTGTTGGTCTCACCAAATCTTTGAAATCAGAAGGTGGCATTTTCAGTAGCCCCTAAGTGACTTTCAGAAAGATATATGCTCTCATGTTGCCTAGGGGCTTTTGAAAAATCCCACCCAGAAATTTCAGTGTCTCCAACAGCACATTTTACAGTATAGCAGGGTTAGAAAGAAAAGACTCAATGGTTTAAAAGGGGGCAAATGCAATGACCTAGAACAGCGATGGGCAACCTAGGTTAGTGACCAGGCTCCATAAGTGGTCCTCTTTTCTCTTAGTGAGCCACAAGATTATTGTAACCAAGATGGTCTACCACAGTGTTTGTTAAACTGTGTTCCACGGTGCACCGGTGTGCCGCGGAGAACAACAGAATTCAAAATGGCCACCCTTAAAGGGGCAGGCGACTTTTTTTTCCCCTCAACAAAAAATCTTTGGTGTTCCTCATAAAAAAAATTATTGTTTGGTGTTCCTTGGTCTTAAAAAGTTTAAGAAACACGGGTCTACCAGGATAGGATAGTTTTGCTAACTACGCGTGCATATCTAGTATTTGCAGGGGTACCGAATGAACTGTAGCAGCTTTGATTGGATTCAGAGGGAGTGCACAGATCTCACAATGTTATATACAGTCAGCACACACCTCACTTCATGTGCCCTGGCTTCATGTGTGTGTCACTTTAGTAATACTGGTGGGAAAAAAACCAACATGGATTGAAGTCAGCGGAATCTGGCAACCCTGCATGTGGGCAATAGTGATGTAAGCAACTAGCCGAGTACCCAGTGGCTGTGTCTACACTGGGCCACTTATTCCGCAAAAGCAGCCGCTTTTCCAGTGTAACTTGCCAGCTGTCTACACTGACCGCTTGCTTTTCCAGAAAAGCAATGACGATCTACTGTAAAATTGTCAGTGTTTTTCTGGAAAAAATTATTCTGCTCCCGTTCGGGCAAAAGTTCTTTTCCGGAAAAACTGTTCCAGAAAAGGGCCAGTGTAGACAGCACAGTAGTCTTTTCCGGAAAAAAGCCCCGATCGCGAAAATGACGATCGGGGCTATTTTCCGGAAAAGTGTGTCTACATTGGCCACAGACGCTTTTCTGGAAAAAGTGCTTTACTGGAAAAGCATCCTGCCAATGTAGATGTGCTTTTTCTGGAAATACTTATAACGGAAAACTGTTCTGTTTTAAGCATTTCCGGAAAAGGGTGCCAGTGTAGACGTAGCCCATAAGCATATGCATATTGGGTATTCAAGTAGTGACTCGACTAGTTTCTTCTCCCTTTACCTTTTGCTGCCTCTAGCAGGGGAAAGAAGTAGGAGCCAGTGCTGGGGGGAGCATGGTTCCCCCAGCACTGTCTCAGGGGGCAGGGGATGGAGGAGCAGATGCAAGCCGGCAATCAGCTGATTCCAGGCTTGCATCCGGTCCCCTGCTACACCTCTGCCTTCTAAATGTACTAAGAGCTTGGCGGCTCTTAATACATTTAAAAGGCGGAGCCGCCATGGGGTTATCTCTCGGGGCTGGAGTTAACTCCGCTGCGGCTCTGCAGTTTCCCCCCTTATCAACTGAAATTCTGTCGATTTCTCGATTAGCCGATTACAACTTCGCTTCTAAGCAACAGTAAATAAAAAGTATCATGGGCCACACATAGAACCCCAAATGGGCTGCAGGTTGCTCACCACGGTTCTAGAACCTCTTTTGAAACACAATGGAGTAGATAACATTTTAAATTAGACATATGTCTCCCCTCTCCACATAAACAAATTGAGTCTCTAGCCACTTGTGGCTGAAGTCTGATGCCAAAGAGAACACGGTGTTTATTCACAAACACCCCCCCAATTATACTGCTACTAGTGCATAAAAAAATAATCAGACGAGCCAAGTTGGAACACAGGGATTGCCAAAGTGAAAAAAATAAATCCTAACCAAAAGCACATGGTGCTGACCAATGCCTGAAGCTTCAGAAGGTGGCCCTAGTTTTTCTCCCCACTCACACATAGCATATCACAATGCATCTGTCACAGACAGGTATACTCAAGAATTGCCGGTTCTGCATTTAGCTGAAGTTGGTGCAACCTCTCCAGTCTGCTCCATTGGTGTGCTGCAGAAATCAACTTTGTTTCTGCAAAATTTAGGACATGTTTCCTAGAGCCCAAAGACTCTTGCTTAAAAATATGCAAACAATCGGTGGGTATGTAGGTTCTTTCTGCCCCTGATCATAGCTGGAGTTTGGTAACTTGTGTAATTATATCCTAGCTATTGTAAAAATACAGAGATGCTATTCATATGGGTATCTAAAGTTTTTCCTCTTGCTTTTCTCCCTCCTCCAGACCTCTTTTAACATTACCTCACATGCATTTTCAAAAAATCTTGGTAAGTGTGGCCTGTATAGGAATAATGGGCTCAACACCTACATAGAGAAAAGTTACGTGACTGGCGCAGATAACTTCATCACCTTCTACGACAGACTCAACTTTCACCCCAGTTACAACGGCAGTGGACCATCCCACTGTGAATAATGAGTCAGCCGGGATATCTGTTTTATGACACCTGTTCTTTGGTTTACTATCTACTGCCTGGTTAATAAAAAAAGCCAAGAAAACAATAGAACTGCCATTTCCTTAGGATTTCTACTTCTCTCCTAAATCAGCACCCAAGACTCCTTTTGAAAACATGACTGGAAACTAATGTTGCTTCTGCACTGAGTGATGTTAATGTACTTCCATCTGCCACATTAGGTTGCAGGATAGTTCACCACCAGAAACACAGGCATCTATTACCATAATGCATTTTTAAGCTGCAATGGGAATCTTTTATTGTAATGTCTGACTTCAGGTTACCATGCTGAAGAGGAGCCTAGATCCAATGTTAAGGTAGTTGAAAAGTTCATGAAAACGCAATAAAATGAGAGCAAGGATGAAAACTTTGCCATGGAGAGAGTAATAAGCAAAATATTGCTTTAGAGCAGGTGTGTAAATAATAAAAAATCAAGAAAAATTCTGTTTTCTTAAAATGCCTATGAACATACGTGAATTCCATGCCGGTGAAACATTGATGGATGGCCCGAACCTATAGCGGCAGTTTTCAAACTTTTTTACTCACAATCCAGTTGAAGAAAATTGTTGATGCGTGTGAGCCAATATCCTTTGACTAAAGCAGGGGTTCTCAAACTTTGTGATTTCATGACCCCCCTCTAAGTTGCTCGCAACCCCCCAGGGGGTCGGGTCCCACAGTTTGAGAAACAATGGACTAAAGTGTGAGTGAGCTCTGGGATGGGTCTGAGCAGGACAGCTTCCGCTTTGGGGGAGGGGTCAGGGCTGGGGCAGGAGGGGCTTATCTTGAGTGGTTCCCAGTCAGCAGTGCAGCAGGGGGGGTAAGGCAGCTTCCTGCCTCTCCTGGCACCGCAGACCATGCTGCTCCCCACAAGCATCCAGCAGCAGGTTCTCAGCCAACAGGAGGAGCCTGTACACTTGTCTGCCTCTTCTAGGAGCTGGGCCTGCTGCGGGCTGTTTCTGGGGTGCAGCGCAGTCTGCAGTGCCAGGACAGGCAGGGAGCTGCCTTAGCACTCCCCGTCCCCAGTCACCTGATTCCTCTGTAGCAACGAGACCCAGCGCCTGACATTCCACGACCCAGAACTGGGTTGCAACCTGTAATCTGAAAACCACTGCTCTATGGTACAGCACAGGCAGGCAGGGCACATGCTCTAGATGCAGAGATGGTGGAATGCCCAACAAACACAACTGCTAGCTGTATTAGAGAATCATACAGCCCAGTCCTATCCTAAGATTGCCAAATAAGGGCCACACTTTTCCATAGATTCCTGGATCAGAAGGGACTGTTGTGATTATCTCTAGTCATTCTAGCGTGACCTCCCATATAACACAGGCCACAGAAATTCCTCTAAACAGTTCTTCAAGCAGATCTTTTAACAAAGCATCCGGTCTTTGACACAGTCAATGAACTATGATTTGATTGGAATAACGATGACTTGGTGGGATGACTCACATGACTAGAGCAGTGTCATGGAAGGTAACTATTCAGGAAGAACAGGCAGGGGAGAAAAGGAGGAGGAGTTGCACTATATGTAAGAGAGCACTATGATTGCTCAGAGATCCAGTATATAGAGGGAGAAAAGCCTATTGAGAGTCTTTGGGTTAAGTTTAGAGGCGGGAGCAACAGAAGTGGTGTTGTGGTTGGTGTCTGCTTTAGACCACCAGATCAGGCGGATGAGGTAGACAAGGCTTTCTTCAGACAACTAAGAGACGCTTCCAGATCACAGGCCCTGGTTCTTGTGGGGGACTTTAATCATCCTGACATCTGTTGGGAGACCAATACAGCAGTACACAGACAATCCAGGAAGTTTTTGGAGAATGTTGGAAATAACTTCCTGGTACAAGTGCTGAAGGAACTAGTAGGGGAAGTACATATGGGTGGCAACAGTGATCAGCAGTGATCATGAGATGGTAGATTTCAGGACCTGACCAAAGGAAGAAAGGAGAACAGCAAAATACACACCCTGGACTTCAGAAAAGCAGACTTTGACTCCCTCAAAGAACTAATGGGCTGGGGGGTCCCTTGGGATGCTAACATGAAAGGGAAATGAGTCCAGGAGAGCTGGCAGTATTTTAAAGAAGCCTTATTGAAGGCACAGGAACAAACCATACTGATACGCAGTAAGAAAAGCAAATGTGGTAGGCGACCAGATTGGCTTACCAGGGAAATCCTTGACAAGCTTAAACACAAAAAGAAAATTTATAACAAGTGGAAACTTGGACAGATGACTATGGTGGAGTATAAATATATTGCTCAGGAATGCAGTAGAGTAATCAAGAAGGTGAAAGCACAACTAGAACTGCAGCTAGCAAGGGATGTGAAAGCTAACAAGAAAGGTTTCTACAGGCATGTTAGCAATAAGAGGGTGATCAGGGAGGATGGGGGGGGGTCTTACTGGATGAGGGAGGTAACCTAGTGACAGATGATGTACTCAAGATGTACATCACAAACAAGGAGGACAAACCAGGAAAATACAGACCAGTCAGCCTTACCTCAGTCCCTGGAAAAATCATGGAGGGGATCCTCAAGGAATCCATTATTAAGCACTTTGAAGATGGGAAAGTGATCAGGCATAGTCAACATGGATTCACCAAGGGCAAGTCATGCCAGACCAACCTGATTAGCTTCTATGATGAGGTAACTGGCTCTGTGGACATGGGGAAGTCAGTGGATGTGATATACCTTGACTTTGGAAAAACTTTTGATATGGTTTCCCACAGTATTCTTGCCAGCAAGTTAAGGAAGTATGGATTGGATAAATGGACTGTAAGGTGGATAGAAAGCTGGCTAGATTGTTAGGCCCAATGGGTAGTGACCAACATCTCGATGGCTGGTTGGCAGTCAGTTTCAAGTGGAATGCGCCAACGTTCGGTTCTATGGCAGTTTTGTTCAACACCTTTATTAATGACCTGGAGGAGGAGATGGATTGCACCTCAGCAAGTTTACAGATGACACTAAACTAGGGGAGAGGTAGATACGTTGGAGGGCAGGGATAGGGTCCAGAGTGACCTAGACAAATTAGGGGACTGGGACAAAAGAAATCTGATGAGGTTCAACAAAGATAAGTGTAGAGTCCTGCACTTGGGATGGAAGAATCCTAAGCATTGTTACAGGCCAGGAACTGACTGGCTAAGTAGCAGTTCAGCAGAAAAGGACCTGGGGATTACAGTGGATGAGAAGCTGCATATGAGTCAACAGGGTACCCTTGTAGCCAAGAAGGCTAATGTCATATTAGGGTGCATTAGGAGACGCATTGCCAGCAGATCTAGAGAAGTGATTATTCCCCTTTATTCTGCACTGGTGAGGCCACATCTGGAGTATTGCGTCCAGTTCTGGGCCCCCCACTACAGAAGGGATGTGAATGCACTGGAGAGGGTCCAGCGGAGGGCAACCAAAATGATTGGGGGCTGTGACACATGACCTACGAGAAGAGGCTGAGGCATTTGGGCTTGTTTAGCCTGCAGAAGAGAAGAATGGGGGGGATTTGATAGCAGCCTTCAAATTGCTGAAGAGAGGTTCCAAAGAGAATGGAAAGAGGCTGTTCTCAGTGGTGACGAATGGCAGAACAAGGAGCAATGGTCTCAAGTTGCAGTGGGGGAAGTCTAGGTTGGATATTAGGAAAAACTATTTCACTAGGACGGTGGCGAAGTACTGGAAGGGGTTCCCTAGGGAGGTGGTGGAATGTCCATCCCTAGAGGTTTTTAAGTCCTGGTTTGACAAAGCCCTGGCCGGGATGATTTAGTTGGGGTTGATCCTGCTTTGGGCAGGGGACTTGACTCAATGACCTTCTGAGGTCTCTTACAGTCCTAGGATTCTATAAATCTTGATTTGAAATTTGCCAGTGATGAAGAATCCACCAGTAAATTTTAGTAAATTGCTCCAATGGTTAATTACCCTTACTGGTAGAAATGTATGCCTTATTTCCTGTCTGAATTTGTCTCGTTTCAACTTCCAGCGAGCCATCTTCTTCTGCTATATTGGAAAACCCATTACCCAACATTTGTTCCTCATGTAGATTCTTGTAGACTGTGATCACATCACCCCAATCCTCTCTCTGCTAAGCTAAATAAATCAAGCTTCTTCAATCTATCACTATGCACAACGGCTGTGTCTAGACCGCACCCCTTTTGCGGAAAAGGGATGCAGATTAGACACAGCGCAATTGCAAATGAAGCGGGGATTTAAATCTCCCCCGCTTCGTTTGCATGAACATGCCTGCCGCTTTTTTCCGGCTCGGGGCTTTGCCGGCAAAAAGCGCCAGTCTAGACGGGGATCTTTCGGAAAATAAAGCCTTTTCCGAAAGATCCCTTATTTCTGATTTTAAGAGGAATGAGGGATCTTTCGGAAAAGGCTTTATTTTCCGAAAGATCCCCGTCTAGACTGGCGCTTTTTGCCGGCAAAAAGCGCCAGTCTAGACGGGGATCTTTCGGAAAATAAAGCCTTTTCCGAAAGATCCCTTATTTCTGATTTTAAGAGGAATGAGGGATCTTTCGGAAAAGGCTTTATTTTCCGAAAGATCCCCGTCTAGACTGGCGCTTTTTGCCAGCAAAGCCCCGAGCCGGAAAAAAGCGGCAGGCATGTTCATGCAAACGAAGCGGGGGAGATTTAAATCCCCGCTTCATTTGCAATTGCGCTGTGTCTAATCTGCATCCCTTTTCCGCAAAAGGGGTGCAGTCTAGACACAGCCAACATGTTTTCTAACCCTTTCCTCCTTCTTGTGGTGCTTTTCTCTTCATTTATCAACACCTTTTAACTGTGGACACCAGAATTGGACCCAGTATTCCAGCAGCTATTGCAACTGGACCTACTACAGAGGTAAAATTGCCTCTTTTCTCCCACACAAGCGTCTCTTGCTTAAGCGTCCAATGATGATATTAGCTCTTTTGGGCACAGTGTTGCACTGAAAGCTCATATTCAGGTGACCATCCACCACAACTACCGGTCTGTGTCCTCAGATGTGTACATTTCCGTTTAGTTGCATTCAGATGCCTTCTGTTTGTGCTCAGCTTACCAAGTAATCCAGATTGCTATCGGTGACCTGAGGAAGTGGGTTGTGCCCATCAAAGCTCAGGATACTATTTATACTTTTTTGTTAATCTGTAAAGTGCTACAGAACCATTATTGTTTAAGTTTTTTTAGTTACAGACTAACACGGCTACCCTTCTGAGACCTGTAAATATATTAAACACTCTTGGGGCAAGAATCAGCCCCTGCCAGCACCTACTAGACATACACCCCATTCAATGATGATTCCTCATTTACAAGTAGATTTTGAGATACATCAGTTAGGCAGATTGTAATCTATTTAATGTGTTCCATGTTAATTTTATATCATTCCTGTTTTTAATTAAAGCAGGATGTAAAACATCTTACAGAAGTCTATTACATACTGTTTAGTGTTATCAACCAACCTTGTAGTCACATCAAAACAAATATCAAATTAGTTTGTCAGGCTCTATTTTCCACAAATCCATGTTGATTGGCATTGATTATATTCCCCTTCTTTAATTTTGTATTTAGTTCTATATCAGCCCCTCTATTATGTTTCCAGGGAACATTGTCAGACTGGCAATCCTATAATTACTCAGGGTCACCCATTTATCCTTTTTAACTATTGGCACTGAATTAGTTTTTTCCCCCTACCTTTCTGAGTTCAAGAAGAAGTGTTCTAAGTGGGTACTTCTACACTGCAGTGTTTTTCTGGAATAATGGCCGTTATTCTGGAAAATCAATACTTGTGTCCACATTGCAACAGCATTATTTCGACAAAAAGTCAGAATAATGGAAGGCTTTTCCCGACGGTGATAAACCTCATTCTACTTGGAATACCACTTTTTCCAAAAAAGCTTTTTCGGAAAAAGGCATGTGTGGATGCAGAAGAGGCCTCCAGAAAATAAGACAGGTGCCCTGCTGGCCATTCCATCCACACGCATCACAACTCTATAGTTCCTGTCTCCCAGCAGCTCTTAAAGCTGCAGACACCCAGGACAGGCCTTGTGGCAGGAAGCCGGCCCTGGGAGCTTCCAGACACCACAAGGCTGCCCCTGCCATACATCTGAGCACTATGTCCCAGCCACAAGCCCCCCAAGAGCTCAGTGTCCTACCAGGGAGCATGCCCAGGGCTCCCAGGAGCTTGCCGGGACAGGAAAAGGCATGCACAGTCCAGGTCTGGAGTGGAGATCCTGGCCATCCTTGAAATGTGGGGCGAGGACACCCTCCAGGATCTCCGCTACAGATGAAGAAATGTGGACATCTAGGCTGGATGTCTGAAGCCCAGCCACGAGGGGCTACCACCGTAGTCTGGAGCAGGTGCGGAACAAGGTTAAAGAGCTCCAGCAGGGCTACACCAGGGCCATAGAGTGCAGCTCTCGCTCTGGGGCAGGACCCTACTCCTGCCCCTATTTTAATGAACTGCACCTCATCCTGGGGGGCGGTGCAACCCCTTCCCCACTCCTGGTGGTGGATTTGGGGCTGGAGATGCCCATTGTTGCCTGGTTAAGGGTCCCAGGCCTCGAGGAGGAGCTGGAGGAAGAGGAGGAAATGGCGAGCACCGTCACCATGCTCACCTTGGAGCCGGTACCCTAGGCCCTGGATGTCTCGTAGGCATCCTCCAAGGCCGGGGAGGGATCAGCAGGTGAGTGCTCTTAGTATGTCACACACAGGGTGGGAGTGGCCAGCGCTATGAGACCGTGGTGCGATCGTCGCTCGGCCTTCTCAGCCTGGCCCTTGCGCTGCAGTCTGTGCATGCGAATGCATGTGCAGCGCCACTCTGCACCATGCAACCCCAGGAATCAGCCCTTGAGCACCCCCGGGCTCCTGCTTACAGGCTCTGGGGTGGTCAGACACACTTCTGACCCTGGTCCCACGACCAGCCACTGCTGGAATGAGGCTGGCGATAAGGGCACATGCTCGCCTGCACGCAGACTCCGGAGTGCCGTACACAGGTATGCCTCCCTGCTCGAGGCACCACCTGCTCCCAGGTGCAGGTGTGTGTGCGGCCCTGATGGAAGCCCAGGCTACTCTCCTCCCCCCTCTCCTTATCCAGGTTCTCACCCCGAGAGTGCCTTACCTGCATGAGGACTTGGGGCTGGAAAGGGCCCCCATGTTGGATTTTCCCACACCAAACTGGTTGCCCACAGCTGTCTGTGGTGGCAAGCTTTCAGACAGTGATGGCGACCAATTTCTCCAGAGAGATGGCGGATCGCATCTGGTTGTCCCATTGACAGAGAGCGAGCCAGGCACACAGCTCCATGAAAGTCTCCTTCCTCATTCAGAAGTTGTGGAGCCACTGCTGGTCATCCCACTGCTCCATCACCAGCCAATCCCACCAGTCGGAACTGGTGTCCAGCCTCCAGAACCTTCTCTCCACCATGGGGTATGGCTGCCAGGGTCTTGCTCTCAAACACAGCGAGAGGGTCTCAAGGATGAGCTCGGTGTCGAGGTCGTGGAGGGCCATGAAGGCAGCCTGCACAAACTGCAGCATGGCAGTGGGGGACCACTGCATGCCCAGAGGCAGCTCCGGCTCCATGGTAGGGAGTGCCGTGGTGTCCTGAAGCAGGGCAACCAGAGCACGCACTGCAAATGCTTTGCTGTCCCTCGGAGAGGTAGGCAAGCAAACAGAAGAACCTGAGAAACGGCTGTCCAGAAGAGATCCCTTTAAGCATGTGTCTCAAATAGCCTTAGGCAACAGCACCTGGAAGCGATGGCTGACCTAAAGCTCTGCTTGAACTGGATCCAGGTGGCCTTAAATGCGAGATGGTGTCCAATCAGTATGGATGCTATCTTTTGAAACAGTATATCGGTATTTCATTGTGCTTTTTATGTGCAGACGCGCTATTTCAAAATATGCTTTTCCAGAACATCTCTTCCGGAAAAGCTTATTTTGAAAGAAGCTTGCAGTCTCGACGCAGCCAGTAGAGCCAGGGAGCTCCTTGGCCAGCTCTTTCAAAACTCTTGCATATAAGCTATCTGAACCTACTGATTTGTAAATGTCTCATTTTAACACCTGCTTGATATCATCCTTAGTTACTGCTGGAGTAGAAACATTTCATCATCATCTGATATGAATACATCATGTGTCCCTCCCCCCCCCAAATACAGAATAGAAATATTTATTGAACACAATTTGTATCAGTTACAATGCTGACTTCTGGGACATGCACACTTGTCTACTGAAAGAAACAGAATAGTTTAAATGATCCTGAGCTGATGCCACTTAGAAGAATAAAAGTACATACAACTGGCAATGCTTCAACACATTAATCTTAAAAGTCATAGTTTAACAGAACAAGATTTTTTTCTTCTCCTACTGCAGATATTTTTTTAACCTTGCTTAACAGGACATTTCCTATGAGTATTTGGCAAAGCAACTACAAAATTAAGAGATTTAAGATGGACCTGTGATCATAAATCTTAGAAAAGGTGTCACCAGAGAAATGTTTTTGAGAGAGATTGTTAAGTAGCTAATTCTTCAAGTTTAGGTTTGGAGATGAAATTTTTTAAATGAAATGTCATTGAAAACAGTTTCAATAGCTTCTGTCTATGGAATACAAGTATGTTTCACCACAAAACTGGAATGAAGTTTATTAGAAAAAGACATCCATTAACACACAGATTTAATATGGCAAAAAGTTTATAGGTGTTCGGGTAGAAATGGTTAGTGAACCCCTTCCAGTAACATACAGTTACTTATAATTAAGCGATTGTTGTAAATTACGTGAACTGAACCAAGATATACACATAGGGTATGTCTACACCTTTCAAGAGGAATGCAAATGCAGCTGAGCGAAATTGCAAATGAAGCGCGGATTTGAATTTCCCACACTTCATTTGCATAATCGTGTCTGGGCGCTATTTTGAAATACCCTATTTCGAAAAAAGAAATGCAGTCTAGACGTGGTTATTTCAAAAGAAAACCCTTCTTTCGAAATTACCCTTAAACCTCATTTTATAAGGAGTAAGGATAATTTCAAAAGAAGGGCTTTCTTTCTAAATAACCGCATCTAGACTGCGTTTCTTTTTTCGAAATAGGGTATTTCAAAATAGCACCCAGACGTGATTATGCAAAGGAAGCACCGGAAATTCGAATCCGCGCTTCATTTGCAATTTTGCTCAGCTGCATTTGTATTCCTCTCTTGAAAGAAGAATGCAGTATAGACATACCTATACTTAATAGCCTTCTCTTCAATCCCAAGTCATCCTTTCAACTCTTGGCTCCCGGTATTAAAAGATTAATGCATTTTTGAACCTTTGCTTCTATGTTGTTTAGAATGTAACTAGAATAACTAGCACGCACGTTTTCCCTAAGATTGTAGTCCTTTAAATATTAATTGATTTGTTGTAGGGAATTTGTTATTCCCTCCTGTCTCAAGACTATAATTTCTTAATTATTCAAACAAGGACAAAGAATCCTAGAGAAATATTTTCTAAAGTTTTAATGCAATTGCAGTTATACAACCAATGCACCTATGTCATATGTATACAAAGTACTCCAGTGCAGTGCTAACTTCACAGCGCATTTCTACCAATAGCTCTGAATACCTCTGTGGATGAGACACTATCCTAGTTTCAGAGTTTGATACACTTAATATATAACTAGAAGCTATGATAATTTTCCAGCTGAAAGGAATATTTGGTATAACAGAAAATGTGTGTGTCTATGTACTACTACAACCTATATTTTTCATAATATTTTCTTAAGAAAATTTCTCTCTTACTTGGATCATTTTATATTGCCATAAAACCAAACTGAATATGAGCATGGCATGGCAATGCTTTTAAAACTACAAGAAAAGCGAGTTTACTTTGTTACTAGTTAACAAGATCAGTAATTAAACACTTGAATATGAAAGTGAATAGTAAGTCTAATAAAGGCATGAACTTAGAATAAACAAATCCAAAAATATGGTGCTGAACTAAACCTCCTGTAGTCCCCATTGACCTCAAAGAGTTTTGGATGAGGCCCATTGTGTAGTTTCACTATTACAACACACAATATTTGATGATCTCAAATACAGAAATATTTGGCAAAATTCTGCTTTCATTTATAACCTGTCAATAGGGTTGAACAAGTACAATAAAGCCAGGGCCAAAATTTGCCCAAACGGCTTTTATTTTTGTTATCTATCATATGGCTTCCAAAAAAAAGAAAAAGTAATTTAGGGGGAAAAAAATCAACCCTTTGCTTTCTCATTCACCACTTCTGTTCTAGGACTTCAGGGCATGTTTTCATTTCTTCCATTGTTTCCAATTCTTTGTCTGAAATGCAAAATCAACACAGTGCAGAATAAACAAGAAACAATTCTGGTAGTCACCTTTTCCGTGGATCTCTTTCATAACAGGTTGCTTCGTATCATTTAATTTTAATACAAACTGTATCCCCAGATGTGCTACAAAGATGCCATACAAAATGAAATCATATTGTAACACATTACATTTGTGTACTATTATAAAGAGCTGGAACATACCCACCCACTCATCCCACCTACATGAAATAATACAAGTTGCACAACTAAATTTGTCCCTCTTTTTAGGCAACACAGTGCTTATTTCTTCATTTTTAGAATCAAACATCATAATGACTAGAGTATGTGGATACTATTCAAGGTAACTGGTAAAACCTCTTGTCTAACCATTGTGGGGGAAAAAGCCTTGGATGGCTGTTTTAAACAGCAGATGAGCTACAAAAGTGTATGCAGAAAAGCTACTAGCTGGTTTGAAAATAGAGCTGGTGTCACAGTGAGGTACAAAATATATGTTTTGTTATTTCTATTGCTTTTCAACCCTGAGCAACAAATCAGGTTTCTTGTTTTCCCTTCAAACATGCAGTACACTTTCTGAAAGCACAACCCCACATGCACACGCATTCCTAGAATAAACATACCAACATGATTTAGGGGAGAAAGTATTTCCATAGGCCAATGAAGAAAAATGCCCATATAGAAACAGAGGGGTAGGGCATCTTATTTGTTTTCTGAGTATTCACACAAGTTTTTAGGCTATGTTTATTACGGGGTTCTATAGATGTGCTTAGAATTAAGCAGTTGTTGATTTCAGGTAGGTAAGTTCTCTGAGGGTACATGTACACTGCACACTTATTTTGAAATACGGTATTCTGGAAGAAATACTCCAAAACAGCTTATTTCAAAATAGCACGTCTAAACTACAGGGAAACCTCAAAATCAGTCCCCTAACATAGACATGCTATCTCGATTTAGAATCCCAGGAGGCACTGGAGAGTAATTGCTTTGAATGGCCCTGGAGAAGAGCTATTTTGAAATAGCAGCAGTGGACCAGCCACACTACTGCTATTCCAAAATAGGCATTATTCTTCATGGAATGAGGTTTACAGAAGTCGCAATAAACTGTCCATTATTTTGAATTTATTTTGAAATAACAGAATTGCTGTGTAGATGCTTGCATTGTTATTTCGGAATAATGGCTGTTATTCTGAAATAACACTGCTGTGTAGACACACTCTAAGTGTGATGAATCCAGAATTTACTAGCATAAATAGAGATTTTCACAGTCTCTGAAAATACTTATTCCAAACATTTTAAGATAGACAAAGAATGAAGGGCAATCTCACGATACAAATATTACAAATCTCTTTGCCTGATTATTTCTGAGCCCACTGTTGAATCAGAGTCTGAAATATAGTTAACATTTAACCTTTACCAGTTTTAGATTAATAGAGTATTGATGAAAAGTCCTGTATTGACAGATTTAGGGATTTAAGTAGGTAAAGGACAGACAGTGCAGGCACACACATCTACTTTCTTCCTGACCTGAAGGAACCTCCATGGTCCCATCTAATTCATGACCACTCTGAAATGTCAAGAGAGGTGTTAATTAATGCCAGTTGAAGTGATAGCTTTATTAATAGGGACATCTGCACACTGGGAATGGGACTGAGATGTGTCAAATTCATTGCACATAGGTCACCATACAAATGTAAAATCATGGCTGACCTAGAGATAAAAGCCTATCGTATTAACAATTCTCCAGATTATCCAGTAAACCTACAATATGTATCATGGTCAATACCGGGTTTGTGCATTTACCATTTGTATGTAAACAGGGGTCATCAATGCTTGTGTCTCTGTACTAATAAATGTTTCAGTATAGTCATGGTCTTAAAATTGTGCCTCAGATAAGGTAAAGAGGAGACTTTTTTATAGCTATAGCCCTGGTCTAGTCTAGCCAGCTAAGTCCTCTACAGATGATTTCTGCTAGAATCAATTTATATGAGGGCACTAAGTATAAAATAAAGTATAACTTCAGAGAAAATGCATGGCAATGAGCAGGTCTTCAAGGTGTTTAAACATTTTAAACCAGAGGTGGGGAACCTGGATCTGGCCCCCGAGGCTCAGGGTCCCCCAGCACTGGGGAACCCACACTGGCATTGCAGCCCTTCTGCTGCCCCACCACAAGGCTGGAGCACACAAAATCTACTAGGTTGGGCCCCTCTAAGTTCTAGTGTCAAGGGGAATGTGGAGAGTGTCTTTCTCCTTATCGGTTGGGGGCCATGTCAGTGAGGGGTTGCTTTTGTTTTTCTTGCTCCTCACTTGTATGGAGCCCCTGATTGATTTTTCTGTGGGTCAGATGTTGGAATTGAAAGTTTTATTCTTTTTATATTTGTATTTTAGGATTAATAATGTAGCAATGTAAGGTAATATACCACATTTAATATTGTATTAAACTAAGCCCTTTAGTAAGATATATATATTAAAGTTTAGTAAGTAAAGAGACAGGATTTCATATTGTGTCTATGTCAATGAGATTAGAAGAGTGTTCAAGGCCCGAGCCTTCAGTGTGAATTGTTTTAATTACAAAATTTAATAAGGTAATTTACCGTGCTGTTTGCTTTTGTTCAATATAAAACTTTGCTGTTTGTATCTCTGTAAAAGACTGTTTGTATGAATGAGCTATGGTGTGAAGGTCATCGTTAGAGCCAGATGGTCAAGAGAGAAGGGGGAGAATGCGGGGTGAAGACAAACTGTAAAAGACAGACTGCGAAGAGACATATCGGTATCAGAGAAACCATCAGTGCGTACCCATGGTCAAGAATTGATCAGATTGGCAGACTGACGGCTCTAAAGGTGAAGGCATCCCTAAAAACAACTGATTAACAATCCAGGACAGGATGAGCCTTGTGGAGATGTTTTGGGAATGATTAACATCAACAAGATAACAGTAACTGGTCACAGACTGACACAGCAAAATCCATAGATTTCAACAGAGAAAAAGGATTATAAAAGCAGGGTGATTTGCTATGGAACTTTGGGTTCATCTTGTCACCAACTCCAGATGAGCATCAGATTGTGACCGACGAAAGGCCCTGCTCTTCCTCTGTGGTTGGCCACTAGATTGATCCAGACTCTGGACTGGAAGTATAGCATTGTCTGGTGGGACTGTGTGTGTATGGTGTTTGTGTGTGAGAGTGACTGAAAAGCATATGCTACTGCTGTAACCTCAATAAATGTGGCATACTGCCTTTTTCCCTATAAAAGATCTCATGTGCTTTGTTTAAGCATAACACAGCGGCCCCCAACCCGAAGACGGTTCCCCACCCATTTTAAACTTTGGAACACCAAAAGTTAAAAAATGAGAACACTGAAAGAAAAAGATGACATTTCACAGCTAAGAATCTACCTGGAATTCTCTCCTTTCATTCTGGATTTTTAAAGAAAGCTTTTCACATAGCTGTGTTGGAGATAAAGTTATATAAGGTTGTATTGTCAATCCAGGATCAATAGACGTTCTTAAAGAACTGCAAAATAACAAAAAGTACAAAAATGCATCAGTCGACAAAGAAAGTAACACAGATCTGCATTATAATCACTTCTGCTTTAGGCATCAATATTTATATTTTTAAATGACTTGAAACCTAACTTAGCAGAATTTATGCACAGACTTAAAAATCAAAATTATTAAAAGTTATTTTTTTCTTTACTTACTTGCCAAATTCCAAGTTTGTCTATTGCAGAAGAAATCTGGAACAGTAAAAAGATAGCACCAACATCTAACGGAGGTTTGGGGTCACTGTAACTACAGGACAGGCATGGTAGGGGGCATGCCAGTGTACCTTCAACCATCATCTGGAGGTTCCACTGGTAGGACCAAGAGGGTTAGTCTGCTCCTTGCCTTTTTAATTGTTAGCCTTAGGATGAGTGCCAATAAGGCGTTTCCCTCAGTACAAAGGAAACAGACAAGTAAACCATTTTGCTATTGTGTCTAAGATGACATTGCCTTGCGTGATGTGATCAGGCAGAACTCTCTGGGGATCCCAGCGCAGGCTTTGGATGCAGTTTAAATTCACAAAGTCCCTGACTCAGTTAGTGTAGTGTTACTGTTCCTTAACTGGGTAGCCTTTATTCTTTTATTTCTATCATTCTAAGGATTCAGGCTTCATTTTCTTGACTACGTGAATGAGAACTGTGCCCAGAACGATGCTTTTGCCAACACCATGTGGAAAGAAGTCTGCCACAACAGCCTGCGCACGGGTGGGGTGCCAATACTGAAGATGATGTGTAGTGTTTAGAATAAAGTTCCCTCTGGACAGTTTGCTTCTCTAGCTAGTGAGCAATCCTGAGGGGACGAAGTTTGGAAAACTGAGCTGGAGAAGCATCAGAGCAATCTAGGGGATAACCTGTAAGGCTCACATTGTGACAGAAACATCAGGGAAGGCTGGTTGGGTCACATACCAAAATGCAACCTCAGACAACAGAAGACAAGCTTGTGCCCAAGCGCAGAACCTGTAATCCCCAGCTACCCTTCTCCCAGCACATAGGCTCAAACCCCAGCCGTCCACACCGCGGGGTAAGCAGGAAACCATTCGCTTCCTTCTCTTTCAGGACAGGCAGGCAGGCAACCACCCTCACTGCCTCAATCCTCGGCGCTGGTCCTGGGTGCTGTAAGGCGGGTATGCTGGTCCTGGACACTGGGCGAATAGTTCTGGGTAAGAGTGCTGATGCTGAAAGGTAGCAGTTGGTGGTGCTCATGTATCTCAGTGAGGTCTCTAAAAATGCTGCCCACCTCCAACCCCACAGTCTCCTGCTGACCTCTTCCTACGTCCCAAGAGAAAAAAAACAATGTTCCCGAAAAGCAGTTTTCAGAGGATGCTATGGGCAAGAGCAAGTTAGGAAACACCCCTTCCTTGCCCACAAGTTTAAGGGAAGAACGGTGCCTACCATTGCTTCCCTTGCAACACTGGAGCACCCGGCAACCCAGCTCTCCGTGTAATTGGGAGCCATTAGGCCTTCTAGATTTACAGGCCCCATTTTCACATCACTCATGGAATTCTCAGAACCACGTTCTACACTTCTTCCTACACGTTTTGTAGTTTCTCTCCCCTTCCCCCCCCCGTTGATACTAGGAATAAATGCATAAAACCCAGATCTTTTAAAATCTGTTTCTGATTCTTATTCCCACTAGAATCAGACTCTTGGGGTATGTCTAGACTACAGGCTTTTGTCAAGAGAAGTTTTGACGACAGATACTGTCGACAAAGCTTTTGTTGACAAAGAGCGTCTAGACTACAGCCAGTTCTGTCTACAAAGCAAGCTGCTTCATCGACATGAGAGTGTAGATGCAATAACGCCTTTTGCTGACAGAACTCTGTCGACAAAAGGCGTTATTCCTCGTAGAATGAGGTTTACATACGTCGACAAAACTGCTGAGTTTTGTCGACGTTATGTTGACAGAACTCAGCGGCAGTGTAGACATAGGTATAGTTTTGTCGACAAAAGTCCACTTTTGTCGATAAAACCCTGTAGTCTAGACACACCCTTCGTGTCATAGCCACAGAATTATGATTTCAGATAAGATGTGTACAGAGGTGGAAGGATAAAATAAGCAGCAGGAACAAATGAGAGTTATGAGGCTCTCATCTTGTCAAGGGGAGTTTTGCCATGATTTTCAAACAAAGCAGAAATAAGCATTTTTAAAATCCAGCTGCCCCTACTCACAAAGACTGTAGGCAGCTGCTCTTGACAACTAACCCTGCATTAAAAAGAAATAATAATAATGGACGGGGAAGAAAGATTTCATTTCAAATCAGTCTTTGGACTCGTGATGTTGATACAAACCACTTGAAATCTTGTTGGTTTCATGGTTCATGGTCAGAACCCAATTTATTAAATGTTATAAATGTATGAATTCACACCATTTCTTATATACAAATCAGGGTTTTCAATGTTGAAAAAAGTGCTCTTTAAAAATTAGGTTAGTTTAAAGCACAAGTTATAAGGAATTGCATCTTAATTGAAAGTGAATTAGTACACCAAGATAAGTTTCAACCACACACACATCAATTGGAGCACGAGACACTTTTTAAATCTTAATGTTGGTTTACTGACATTTTAATGGAGGAAACATTCAGCTTAGGTTATACAGACAGGGTATATAGTGCTTCCATCATTAAAATTAATATCTTAATGCTAGTAAAGCAATATATTTGAAAAACTGCTATTTTAAAATATTGGCTTGCATCCCAATTCCAAACTAAATCAAAACCTTATGCCTGTGCAAATTAATGGCAGGTTTGAAGGCTTAGAATACTTTTTTTCCCCAGGTGTACTATTACTAAATTAACATTGTTAGTGACCCGATGTAAATATTTAATCTAAAAATCAAATGTGGCCAGGTGATAAGATGTCAGATGACCACTATTAACATCTTTTTCAAGTATAACCGCACAATAGTATAAAACGCACAAAGATGTCTAGATATAAAGACCATTGTTTCTTCTCTATAACAACATTACTAGTTCTACACTATTCTACACCCATAGCCTGCCAATTCTCTGCAAGATCACAGCAAACAGGAGGATGAAATGCAATACTGGATACATTCTTGACTGCTTTTGCTCTGTTCTGGGAAATTAAGGCCAACCTCAGGCAGGCTGTTGAAATAAATGCATGGATGGGACACAGAGATTTGGAAAAGGTTAGCCATTTTAAAAGACCAAATTACCATGGAAATGCCAAATCTAACTGTTACTAAAGATAGAGAGTGGCTTGACAAAGGGCTTACACATAAACTGGAACTGAAAAGACTAAATTAGTTTTAATTCACAGGTTTCTGTAATTTCAGTCCGTGTATGGGGACACTCTTATTCCAAAATAAGTGGCCCATTGAAGCAAACAACCACCCCTGATTTTTACTTTTGATGGAATGGGGGTGACAGGATGAATGGAGTTAGGACTCTGAAAATACCCTAGAATCTCACTTGAAGACCTGCTTGCCAAAATTTTTAAGAAAGTATTTACTGTGGCAAGCCTAGGTTTTGCTCTATTGCACAGAACAGCAAAAAAGGATCAAATTTTTGAAGAGATACATCTTATAAAAACCATTGTTAAAAACTATTTACAAGACACACCAATGCAACAAAAGTTAATTTTGAAGGCCAAAACTCATGTAATTGTTGGGCATCAAAATGAAACTAAAGAATGCCCATGGAATTATTTTGGTCTTGCATGTTATAGCAACCTATGAAGAAGGTTAAAAGCAAAGAGCCACTTCACTTTACTGAACTGCAATTGTGCTTTAAAACATCTGCTTACAGGAGGATATCAGAATGGTCAGAAGATAAAAAGGACTTAGCAGTCCCAGAGTTTAAGTAGGAAGTGAAGCCCCTAAAAGACTGCTCCACACCACGTTCCTGAACTTGCCACAGAATCTACAGGGACAGACCCTGCACCTGCATAGAGCTACATTGACTTTAGTGGGCCTGTGTTAGTTTGCAGAGGTCCAGGAGAGCCGTTTTAATTTTAAGATTCAGATCCAAGAGGCAAATGGCTACATGAGGCTGTTTGAAAATAGTTCCAATTCCATGAAATACCAGAGAATATGCTTCAATAACTATGATATGCCTAATCAACTGCAGTTGTTTTCTAAGATCTCTTAACAACTGACCAATACATAAAATGAACACAGATGGATTCACTTTCAATGTATGTATGTTTCAATGCACCATATAATTTAAAGCATAATTAGCTATGCTGTGTTCTTATCTATGACAATTACATGTTAAATCCACCATCTGTAGTAATGCATGCTCTAAAAATCATTATAAAAATATGTCCTTAAAGCACTTTAAATAATTTACAAAAGTCTACAAAAATTAAACATTTATATCCATGATACACCTATTAAATAGGATTTTTCACATTAGTGTATACATGATATATATATATATATATATATATCAGTATCTTCCATCTGGTTTTATCAAGATATTTACAATAGGTCTTCTCAAAAGACTGAATGTTATTAGAAAAAAAAAAAGTACTTACAAATCTGACACCTTGCCTTTCACCAGGGAACTTGTGCATTCCTCTACAGCTACGTCACTAAATTCTGCAGAACTTCTGTCTAAAGCTTCCTGAACATGGTCCTCTTTACAATCAACTTTCCTACTTTGCTGGGCTAACATTTTCCCTTCCATATTAGAACTGGCTACATTAATTTCTTCCTTCCTGTTGCTGTCCTGAGGGCTCTCTCCTTCCTCCTCCTTAATGCACATGTTTTGGCTCTCCAAAACTAATGTATCTATGCTAATTTTGTCCCCTTTTACTTCTGCCATGATAGGTTGCTGTAATGGGGGATCTGGATTTGAATCTGAGCTGCAATACATCTGCTTGTCTCCCAAAGTGTTTTCCTTTCTGCAATTATCATCTTCAGTTTTAACATGCAAAGGAGCAGTCTCCAGTTTTTCACATGTTTCTGCTATATGGAGACCTGTCTCTGCTACTACGAGGCTCGGAGTAAAATTTGCTTCTTTTATTTCTGTCTTTCCCTCTCCACCAATGTTCCCATTTTGCATCAGGTCTCCACTTCTCCTCTCAAGTGCACAAACATTCGGGAGAGCTACTGCAGTCTTTAATGTGCTGCTATGGGGAAATGAAAGTTCTGTATTTTGCCTTTTGTTTAAAAGCACAGATTTCTTCCTATCGCGAGCATATTTTAGACCAGCTATAAATTTACTGGAAATTTTTAACTGAAAGGTGCTATTTCTTTTGGAATTAGATTTAGCTTTATAGTAATTTTGCAATTTACAACCATCTCCTTTGCTGTGTGCAGATGGAGGACTTTTCTGCTTAGGATCTATAGCACTCTTTTTACCTAATGAATTTCCTTTTATAGATATACCACCAGCAGCTACACCTTTAGCCCATGCTGTTCCTTGCTCAGCCTTCAACTCCACTGTAGTATGGAGGTACACATTCTCTGTGTAGGATGCGCTTTTCCCACCATCGTGAATTATTGCACTTTGTCTGACAGTTCTCCGAGAGCTTTTCAACTCCTCTGTTTGCTGAGACACCTTTTTAGTCTTTTTACTCTGATCTGATAACACGTCAGTCTCATTTTCTGTTAGCTGATGCTTGGTTTTTCCTTTATTTGCACGTGGTTTGGCAACTCTCAGTGGGTCAGCAGTTAAGTTATCCCTTTGTATTTCCATATTTCTTGCAGAGTCCTTAGCCTTTTCTGCCAAAAATTTCCTAATTTCTTGTTCAATGCTGTCATCGCTATCTACAGAGCTGCTGTCATCTGTTGCTGAAGTAGCTGTCAAAGAACATCTTTTATTTTTAGCTGCCTCCAGGTTATTCTGGTTGGAAACTGGTTTAGGTTTACATTCGTTTTTAAACTGCAATGCAAACTGTAAGTCATTTATACTTTCTGGTCTTCCCTTAGACAGCTTGCAATTTATGTTGTTTTGGGGGCTTCTAACTGCATTTTCCTTAATATCTTTACGTGATTTTGAGAGGCAGCTTTTCAGCAGAATAGGACTTTTGCATTTCCAGTCCTCTGGCTGGAGGCCACTAAGTTCATCCAACAGCTGGGTTTCTGTCTCACCAAATCTGACTTTCTTCTTGCATTGGAATTTTTGGTCTTTGGACTTTTTCTTTAGTTTCCTCTTAGACCGTAAGAGGTCTTTGATAGCACTATCAAGATCTTCATCGCTGTCCAGAGAACTGCTCTTGTCATCTGTACCATCTCCCTCTTGAGCTTGGACTGTATTTTTTATCAGTTCTCTTGTGTTATCATGAACCTGCATTAAATTATCTGTGATGCCTAAAGCCACCATATGCTTGTCCACAAGCCCAGTTAATTCTGTAGAGGTCAGCTGCTGACTTGTTCCTTTGTCATCAGCTTCACAAGCTTTTCTATGGCTATTCAAGCTACCCCCACCTTGCAAAATTGGGATTGTGGGGCTATTACCATAACCCGCTGGAGTACACACCATCTCCATCCCTTCTGTTTTATTGTCAATGTTCTGCTTCACCACTTTGCTTTCCACTTTAAGTCTCCTTTTACGACTCAACGATAGATTCAATGTTTTGGGGAGAGAAGGTTCAAGACCACCAATTACACGGTTAGGTTCAGAAGGCAAAGGCCCTTGGGCAGAGTGAGACAGGTTATCAGGTTTTGTTATAAGACTATCTGACTGTGCCTTGAGAGCCAAAAAAGCCCTGATTTCTTGCTCTATGCTATCATCGCTGTCCACAGGGCTGCTGTCACTTTCACAGTGGGCGGAAGGCATGCTTTGGGGATAGAAGAAAGGGTTGGCTGCAAGTGATCTGTCCTCACTTCCCATTTGGGGTGGCATTATTGTTTTCGAAATGTCAAGGATTGCTTCTGCACACATGAGTTCTGCGGCCGTGTCTGCCCTGCAAGAAGCCTGCAGCGTGAGCTCGCATTTGGCAATTTTGTTAACTGGAGACGTACAATTTCTGGCTTTTTTCAATGGCTTAAACAGTTTGTTATCTTCATTGCCAGTGCCTTTTAATTGTGTAGACTTTGTACTAAGCTCTCTCCTTTTGCTGCTTAAGGTTTTTTTAGGGTCTTCTGCTGATGCGCTCTTTGTTGAGCTAATTGTTAGGCTAGCAGAAATATCTGCTATACGTTTTTGCGAGTCTGCTGTAGAATTTGCCTCTTTCTTGATTTTTTCCAGCTGATAAAGCTGAATGGCCTCTTCAATACCATCATCACTACTTGAATCAGATAAATGTGTGCTTTCAATAATTTGTTCCCCTCCGGTTTTGCAGAAATTTCTCTTGGTTTCACCTTCTTTATTTTGCTCTATAACCCAGGGTTGGCTAGTAGCAGTCATTTTAAAATGTGCTTGGTTTGCTTTCCTAAAATCACTAGGCTCTTCACTGATTTTAGATTTCAAACACTTAGATTGTACATTTGTCTTCCTTAGTTTGGGCCGGTGCCTTAAAAGGAGTGCTTTGCATCCTTGCTTTAAACTACTGCGGTTTGCTTTGTTAGTCGATTCTTTGTTACATTTAAACATAGATGTCATTTGAGTCTCTCTCCGTTCTAGTTTTTTATCCTCCACAATTACACACTTCCTAGTTTCTTGCTGTTTCTTTTCATTCAAGAACTGTACAATTTCAGCATGTATACTCTGTTCAAAAGAGTCATCACTACTGATGCTCAGAGGTGAAGCAGACCGGAGCTTTTCACAAATTCCCAAATGGTCAGAAATGAAGCCTTCAGTCACCATTTTGGTTGTACATGTCATAGGAAGTAGATTACTAGTCACCTTGTTCTGTGAGAGTTCCCTTTTGACCCTCTTGTCTCCTTCTGTTCTATCTGAACACTCTGCATTGCTTGGCAACGGCTGAATACTCTTGCTTTTCTTTTTCAAGTACTCTTGAATGGCTTCCTCTATGTCTCGGTCAACAGAATCATCACTATCTGAATCCAACAGGAGGGTCCCAAACTCTGAACTGTCTTCCACTTCTGTGCCATCAGAATCAGCAGGGCAACCACGCTTGGCATATTTAGTGTGATGTTGCAGCACCCTGGTGCTAGGTGTAAGTCTGTTACCCCTTTTTCCTCCCTTTTGTTTTTTATGTGTAATACAATCATAATCATTGTTCATACCCAGAGAAGACTCTTGACTTTGTAGGTTGTTTATGATCATCTGAACTTTAGCACTTACAGATGCTCTAGTAACATCCTCTTCAGATTCAGAGAAGCAAACAGGGTATCTACAACTCTTTGATTGTCCAAAGGACTCCCATTTTGTCTGCAGAGCTATCAAAGGAGAGGCATTCATAAGAAACATTCTAGCAAGCAATGAAGAAGTCTGCAAAAAAATTGTTTTTTCAGCTTGGTCTCTCTTCCATCCTAAGGGAAAAGAAAAAAATAATCATATAATGTATATAAAAATATATAAACACACCAATTATATTTCCACTTGATACTCTGTGATACAACTCATATATTACTCAAGTCCAGTACTCTTATGTCAACTATTCACAAGCTTCTCTTCAATATAATTTAAATGGCAAATCTATGACTAGTATCTCCTCTATAAATGGTACAACTCAGGTGCTCACCATTTGCCATCAGTTCACTAATCAACTGGCACTCAGGATCTAGCCACAGTCCAATTCAGGTAATTATATTCGGCCTACCTAAAACTCTCCCTGCATTTTGAACATAGTATTCTTTGATTTTAATTCTAAATTGTCATGGGCTGAAAAAATTGCATTTTGGGGATGGGTAAGGAAGACCCTTTATATGGGGTTGCATCATTTTATTAATTCTATAACGAGTTGGGGACACAAGAGATAAAAAAAATTAAGAGGGATTTTCAAGCCAGAACAAAGTTGGAAGAAAAATTGCAAAACATTCTACTAATGTCTGTTTGCATGTTCCTTGTCATCTTTATTGTATTTAAGTAATTTCATCCATCTGTAACTTGTTTTCACAGTCTCATTTAAGATTATATTTTCGCTGAATGACTGCAATGTTACATTCAGCAATATGACTTCACTTCAGGATCAAGGCCATAGGCCTTCTATAAATACAAATACCCAGTACAATTGGTAAGAAGAGTATGAATTATTCTTTATATTACAGTAGCGGCCCACTCTCTTAGCTATTGTATAGCCACCCAGTGAAAAGCAGACCTCATCCCCAGGACTTTACAATCTTACATAGAACTTGACAAGAGCATAGGTTTCTGACTACAGTTACCAGTTTGCAGAGTCAAGATCTTATTTTGCTAGCTGAAGGCATACAGTAATTCCTCATTTAACACATGCTTGCTTATCACGTTTTCACGATAGCACGATTTTTTTTTAGGGAACGTTTTTTGAATTACACAACTGTCCCCGGAATAACATGATTTCCCCAGCCGGCCCACTGTTGGCGGCTGCGCGGGGCTTCCCCCGTCTCCCTGCAAAGCGGCGGAGGGTTCGCCACTCACCGTGCCGTTCCCCGCTGACTCCCCCTCGCTGGACGCCTTGCACCCTCTCCTCCGTCCCTGCTTGCAGGCCAGCAGCTGGGTTTCCCCAGCCGGCCCATCACCGGTGGCTGCGCAGGGCTTCCTCCACCTCCCTGCAAAGCGGCGGAGGGTTCACCGCTCGCTGCGCCGTTCCCCGGCAACCTCCCCTTGCCGGACGCAGTGCGGGTCCCGGCAGACCCATCACAAGGGCATACTCCCAAACCAATCCCCCTCCTCTTACCTCCTCTCCCCCAGAGCCAAACACCTCCCCTCTCTGCTGCAACCCAGTCTCCTTTCTCTCCCAACCTTATTTCCCAGTCCCAACAGACACCACCGCTTGAAACGCAACCCCCACCTTTTCCATTATTTTCAATGGGAAAATTGACCCCGCGTAATGCGTTTTCACTTAACACGATCATTTTCTGAAACATATCTATAGTGTTAAATGAGGAATTACTGTATGCCTATCAACCCCCACGTTCTGGTAAAACACTGCTGCAGTGGAACAATTCCAAAACTCTGACATAATAATGACCTCCACAAACATATTAGTGCTCAATCACCGCATGACATTGTACTGTAAAGAGATGATAAAACTAAGCTTCTATCTTTGAATTTCTTCAATTCTTCTCTAGTCAGAACATTCAGAAAGGTGTTTTTTGCAACCATTTATTTTCTGGTAATATATTTTAAGAATTGTTATAAAGTTCTAGAATTTTTAAAACAAAGCATATTACCTCTTTTTTTTTTTACCTCATGTTTTTGTTATGGGAAGTGGGTATTAAAAATGCAGGGGGAATGATGCTTGCTTATTCTGATCAGACACTTGGAGCACTAAAAATGAAAAATCATTACAGGTGTGCTACCTATTGTTATTTTTGTCAAACTTGTTCTTTGACCTAGAGGCTGGGACCACCTTCAACACCATTTTAACAGCAATTTAGGTCACTGCTCAAATTCCACCAGACTTGGGAGTCACTCCTGATCCGCCTTAGTCTTTCCAGGGTAGGAAATCATGTTAAAAAGCTAATGCTTCTGCTGCTATTTGGTCCTTTGGTTTCCTACCACAATTTTTTGGCATAAAACAGTCCAACCCAAGCCTTTGACTCTAGATATCGATTCCTGATTTTTCCCCGTAATAATTAGTTTTAGAGCATTACTCTTGTTGCATAATTTACATTTTAAGGGTATTGAATAAGAATGCAATAGGTACCAACCAAATCTGACACATGCCATTATAAATTCTCTTTACAATCAAGCAAAAAAAAAAAGTATCTCTGAACTTTCAAGTGTCAAGCAATAATGAATCGCAGGTTTAGTAGCAGCCTAGAATGCTTTACTTGTCACCTGTACTACAGTGAGTGTCACAGTTATAAGAATGTAGATTAAATAGTTTCTAAGTTTTCTAAAATATAGTTTACAGTATACTTCATTAAAACCCAGAGGCTTTCAAACATTGATGATAAATTAAACAACCATGTTAGGAGAGAAATGAGTTAAGAGCAGGAAAGAAATTAGAACCCTGAGTTAGCTACCCTTGAGTAATGCGTTCAATACATTTAAGCTTTTGGCTCTGTACACATGACATCACTTTCTATTTTTCTATTAACCTCTTTCTTTCCAGAATAGTGGAGATCTTCATTATCTGAATAACACTGGATTATTGGCATACTGAAAATTCACAGCAATCCACAGGGGATTGGGTTTAATTTTTGTCATGTTATCCACCCATAATTCAGTGGGCCATTGCCAATCATTTAATAGCAGCTGTGGGAACTTAACTGCACACTAGAAATGAAAGCAACAGACTATCTGTAATAATCACATTCAGAACTTTTATGGACAAAGGATCCCAAATTATAGAGAATACACAGCTATCACTCCAATGACTCTTGAAATACAGCCACTTCTAAGGAGGTATGTAGTAGCTCTTTAGTGCTAGATAATAATTTAAGACAGAAAGTGAAGAATACTGAACCCAAATACAAACACTGAGATTTTAGGAGACAGAATAAAGTTATTCAAATGGAATTTGGCTAGGACATTAAAGTTAGCCTCGTGACTCTTATTGGGTGGGCATGGACCAGAAGCCGACACCGTGTTCTTCAGAGCTGTACCACTGACTCGCCACACAACCTTCAGCAACTTGCTGAAAATGGACACAGTGATAGCAACCTACCTCAGTAAAAGCATTTGAGAACAGCAGCTGAGATCTGCCATCATTGCAAAGTAGTTCACCCATGAGAGGTGCCACAAGACAGTCAGTGCCCAAGAACGGCCAGGCACGCTGAATTTCGCCTTCCTGAAGGAGATGCCTGTATTAGGAGACCTCAAAACACTGATCTTCCTCAGCCTCTCCTCACACTGACCTTTGCCTTCACAGTTGCACCCTTCCCTGGGACACTAACTCAGAAACCCTCCCAATCCAAACCCCTGGTTTCTAAACTCAAAGGTCAGCAACTCTACCGTCCTCCTGGGCCACAGCTGTTAGAGGAACCCTAGGGACCCCTTCCCCCAGTCCAGCCTCAGTAATCCAACTGTCACCCCTCAACTCCACCCCTGACCTGCCAGGGACCCCAGTTTGTCATCCCCTCGGCGGTGGGTCCGATCGGGGGGGACACCCCCCTTCTGTGGGTCCGATCGGGGGGGACACCCCCCTTCTGTGGGTCCGATCGGGGGGGACACCCCCCTTCTGTGGGTCCGATCGGGGGGGACACCCCCCTTCTGTGGGTCCGATCGGGGGGGACACCCCCCTTCTGTGGGTCCGATCGGGGGGGACACCCCCCTTCTGTGGGTCCGATCGGGGGGGACACCCCCCTTCTGTGGGTCCGATCGGGGGGGACACCCCCCTTCTGTGGGTCCGATCGGGGGGGACACCCCCCTTCTGTGGGTCCGATCGGGGGGGACACCCCCCTTCTGTGGGTCCGATCGGGGGGGACACCCCCCTTCTGTGGGTCCGATCGGGGGGGACACCCCCCTTCTGTGGGTCCGATCGGGGGGGACACCCCCCTTCTGTGGGTCCGATCGGGGGGGACACCCCCCTTCTGTGGGTCCGATCGGGGGGGACACCCCCCTTCTGTGGGTCCGATCGGGGGGGACACCCCCCTTCTGTGGGTCCGATCGGGGGGGACACCCCCCTTCTGTGGGTCCGATCGGGGGGGACACCCCCCTTCTGTGGGTCCGATCGGGGGGGACACCCCCCTTCTGTGGGTCCGATCGGGGGGGACACCCCCCTTCTGTGGGTCCGATCGGGGGGGACACCCCCCTTCTGTGGGTCCGATCGGGGGGGACACCCCCCTTCTGTGGGTCCGATCGGGGGGGACACCCCCCTTCTGTGGGTCCGATCGGGGGGGACACCCCCCTTCTGTGGGTCCGATCGGGGGGGACACCCCCCTTCTGTGGGTCCGATCGGGGGGGACACCCCCCTTCTGTGGGTCCGATCGGGGGGGACACCCCCCTTCTGTGGGTCCGATCGGGGGGGACACCCCCCTTCTGTGGGTCCGATCGGGGGGGACACCCCCCTTCTGTGGGTCCGATCGGGGGGGACACCCCCCTTCTGTGGGTCCGATCGGGGGGGACACCCCCCTTCTGTGGGTCCGATCGGGGGGGACACCCCCCTTCTGTGGGTCCGATCGGGGGGGACACCCCCCTTCTGTGGGTCCGATCGGGGGGGACACCCCCCTTCTGTGGGTCCGATCGGGGGGGACACCCCCCTTCTGTGGGTCCGATCGGGGGGGACACCCCCCTTCTGTGGGTCCGATCGGGGGGGACACCCCCCTTCTGTGGGTCCGATCGGGGGGGACACCCCCCTTCTGTGGGTCCGATCGGGGGGGACACCCCCCTTCTGTGGGTCCGATCGGGGGGGACACCCCCCTTCTGTGGGTCCGATCGGGGGGGACACCCCCCTTCTGTGGGTCCGATCGGGGGGGACACCCCCCTTCTGTGGGTCCGATCGGGGGGGACACCCCCCTTCTGTGGGTCCGATCGGGGGGGACACCCCCCTTCTGTGGGTCCGATCGGGGGGGACACCCCCCTTCTGTGGGTCCGATCGGGGGGGACACCCCCCTTCTGTGGGTCCGATCGGGGGGGACACCCCCCTTCTGTGGGTCCGATCGGGGGGGACACCCCCCTTCTGTGGGTCCGATCGGGGGGGACACCCCCCTTCTGTGGGTCCGATCGGGGGGGACACCCCCCTTCTGTGGGTCCGATCGGGGGGGACACCCCCCTTCTGTGGGTCCGATCGGGGGGGACACCCCCCTTCTGTGGGTCCGATCGGGGGGGACACCCCCCTTCTGTGGGTCCGATCGGGGGGGACACCCCCCTTCTGTGGGTCCGATCGGGGGGGACACCCCCCTTCTGTGGGTCCGATCGGGGGGGACACCCCCCTTCTGTGGGTCCGATCGGGGGGGACACCCCCCTTCTGTGGGTCCGATCGGGGGGGACACCCCCCTTCTGTGGGTCCGATCGGGGGGGACACCCCCCTTCTGTGGGTCCGATCGGGGGGGACACCCCCCTTCTGTGGGTCCGATCGGGGGGGACACCCCCCTTCTGTGGGTCCGATCGGGGGGGACACCCCCCTTCTGTGGGTCCGATCGGGGGGGACACCCCCCTTCTGTGGGTCCGATCGGGGGGGACACCCCCCTTCTGTGGGTCCGATCGGGGGGGACACCCCCCTTCTGTGGGTCCGATCGGGGGGGACACCCCCCTTCTGTGGGTCCGATCGGGAGGGACCCCTTTCTGTGGGTCCGAACGGGGGGGACCCCCCTTCTGTGGATCTGAACGGAAGGGACCCCCCCTTCTGTGGGTCCGATCGGGAGGGACCCCTTTCTGTGGGTCCGAACGGGGGGGACCCCCCTTCTGTGGATCTGAACGGAAGGGACCCCCCCTTCTGTGGGTCCGATCGGGAGGGACCCCTTTCTGTGGGTCCGAACGGGGGGGACTCCCCTCCTTCTGTGGGTCCGAACGGGGGGGACCCCCCTTCTGTGGATCTGAACGGAAGGGACCCCCCCTTCTGTGGGTCCGATCGGGAGGGGACCCCCCCTTCTGCGGGTCTGATCGGGAGGGGACCCCCCCTTCTGTGGATCTGAACGGGAGGGACCCCCCCTTCTGTGGGTCCGATCGGGAGGGGACCCCCCCCCAGCTCCTGGGAGAGGGGGGCTGAGTCCTTCTGAGAAATCCCGCCTCCCAGAGCCTGAGGTCTCCCTGGGCTGGAGGGGTCAGTGCCCCTAGTTCCGTCCCCAGCGGGGCTCTCTGGATCTCGCCCTGGCCGGAGAATCGCCCCCAGCCTGCCTGCACCGTTGGCTGCCGCCTGGGGTCGGCTCCCTCTGGGCAGGTGCCCCATGGAGGTTGGGAGGGTGAGCTGGGCTCAGCTCTGGGCCTGCCGGCGGCTTCTCCAAAGCAGGATGGCATCCCGAGTGGTCCTGGTTGCAATTCACACCAGCACCTCCAGGCTGGGGTTAGTCTGCGGACAGGGACAGACCCCTGGATGCTGCCCGTGTACGTAGAAACAAATCGCCTTCCCAAAACACATTTAAACCTTTTTTTTTAAAGAGTTCACATGAGGTCAACGTGGTTAAGACATTTGGCGCCTGATCCAAAGCTCACTGAAGTTAACAAAAGACAGGACTAGGCAGCACTGTAAAGACTAACAAGATAGTTTATTAGGTGATGAGCTTTCGTGGCCCAGACCCACTTCCTCAGATCAAATTCTGGAAGAGAATTGGCATGACCATATATACCAAAGGAATACAATGACAAAAAGTCAACACATTATAAAACTGACAAACCAGATTTAGAACAGAAGGGGAGTGAAGGGGAGCAAGAATGATGCTAGGGGTGACAATTGGGGAAGCCATCTTTGTAATGAGCATCTTTCTACTGACTCTTCAGTGGGCAGTGCTTTTTTTGTTAAAAAAAAAAAAAAGGTGTTGGTACTCCAGGGGAAAAGTTGTTGAGCTCTGGCAGTGCCAGTACTGTGTCTGGAGGTGCCGGTACTGCATACCGGGCAGTACCATTACAAAAAAAGCGCACTGTCAGCGGGGATTAGATTGGGACATGGTGAATTCATCATGAGTGTCAGTCTCATTTGGTATATATGGTTGTGACAATTTTCTTCCACTATTTGATCTGAGGAAGTGGGTCTGGCCCACGAAAGCTCATCATCTAATAAACCATCTTGTTAGTCTTTAAAGTGCTACACAGTCCTGTTTTTTGTTTCAGCTGCACCAGACTAACACGGCTACATTTCTACCACTAGTCTTTACACACCTCTGTAAAGTGAGTAAGATGCTCAGGCTTGAGCTAAAGATCCCATTTTCAAAATCTAGAAGTGACCCCTGCAGTAGTGTTTTTATATAGGCCAATTATCATACAGTGCTTGTTTTAAGTTCTTCCATTTTCCTAGCTATGTCTATCTCTCCCTGCACTTAACAGAGACCTTTAAATTAAACTAGAGGTGGGAAAACTTTTTAGGGTCGGGGCCACTGACCCATAGAAAAATCAGTCGGGTGTTGTACACAAATGAGAAATGCTCAGTGGTTTGAGCATTGGTCTGCTAAACCCAGGGTTGTGAGCTCAATCCTTGTTGAGGCTATTTGGGGCAAAAATTTGTCAGGGATGGTACTTGGTCCTGCTGTGAAGGCAGGGGACTAGATTTGATAACCTTTCAAGGTCTGGTCTAGGAGATAGGCAATCTCCATTAATTTTAATTTAATTTAAACCCCCTACCCCAAAAAACCAACCACAAAAAACCCCTCACTGACGTGGCCCCCAACTGATACGGAGAAAGACACTCTCCACATTCCCCTTGCACACCAGAGCCTCGGGGGCCCAGACTAGGAGATTTTGTGTACTCCAGCCCCACAGGAGGGAAAGTGAGGGGACTGGAGCACCAGCATGGGCTCCTCAATGCTGAAGTGGAGGGGAGTCCGGAGCTTCAAGGACTGGATCCAGGCAAGCCGGGGCAGAGCCATAACAAGGGCGGGGCAAGTTGGGCGCTCGCCCCAGGCACATCATAATCAAGAGCACAAAGACACAATCAATAAAAATAATGAGCTGCAAAAGTAAAGAGCACTGATGCGTGCTAACCTAGGGAGAGGGGGCTCATAATTAATATTTTGCCCCAGATGCAAAAATACTAGTTAGGGTGCTGAGCCGGGCTCTGCATCCAGCCCCTGGGCCGTAGGTTCCCCACACCTGACAAACTATACGTCCCATTTGGCTCACTGGATATTTGACTTTTTCCCACACCATCGGCCAGCTCCTATTAACTCACTGAAACACCCGGACAGAAATACCACACCTTCTAGTAGCAGTCAGCTCATAAAGAGGACTATGGGTTCCTTTTTCCTAGCCATGGAAGAACACTATTGTTGCAGAGACAGCGCTGTTTCAGAATTATATTTATAACCCTTTTTACTTTGTTCCTTTTAGGTCCTGCATTGTTACGCAAGCCTAAAAAAGGGCAAAGTGATGATCATCTTGAAGATAAGAAGTGGAGGTGTACAAAGGAAACAACAAAAGC